AAAAAAAAAAAGAATTACTGATGTTATTAAATTGAACGGTAATAATAGCTGAGTGAATGTTCATATTTGGAATCGTCCAACAACCTTCAACTAATTCTGCTCACCAAAACTTTGGCTAACATATCACACTCATCTTTAATATTTTATCGTCTCCACATTTTACGTTCATCTTTACCTGCGTAGCCTTGCTTAGTTAGTCTCGCGGGTTACTCTTTGAATATATCATTCAATTTTAATTAAAGTTTGTGAATAAATTGTTTTAATTTCCAAAAGAATTGTAATTTTGGTTCCATAGGATGAGTTAGTTTCAAAATTGGTTCCATAAGTTGCAAAATTAATTAGTCCGTTTTGAAATTTTGTTGCAAAATTGGTTCGAGGAAACTAACGGGATTGTCGCATGCACCGTTAGTTGTTTATTTGAAAAAGAGGAAATTGTAAATTTAATTCCATTGGATTGACCGTATCGCAACTTTAGTTCGTAATGTTGCAAAAATATAGGCTTGAGCATGAGACTAGGAGAATTTTGAACTGTTCGAGAACCAAACTGAAAAATAATCGTTGACTGTTTGACTTTCTCCGAAATAAACCTAATAGAAAAAAATAACTAGTACGGTTCTGGAGATTTCACAAATATCTGTACCGAAGAACGGATTGGACGATCTCATATCTTATTTTTAAAATACATAACAAGACATAGTAATAACAATTAAAATTCACTTAAATTTTATATTTAATAATACTTGATTTATAATTAAATGAAAAAAATATTAATATTATAATTATTGGTACTTGCGTAGTCTTATTCCATCTTATACTTAAAATATTATAAATAATTATAAGAGATTTTATTTGGATTTCCAATTTCCATCAGTTGCACAAATTTAGTCATAACTAAAATTTAGAGTTACTTCTATATTTTCTAAAGTTAATTTAGAATATATCAAAATTTAAATATAACTAGATTAAAAAAATTAAAAGATAATCAGAAATCTCCAAGGCTCCGAACAGAATCGTGCCGAAAAAATAAAAATCTCCAAACTGAATTGAACCAATTTTTGGTACAGTTTCAGACAATAAATTTTGATCTCCAAATTTCATTTACTGTTCTAGAGATTATTTATGTTACGAACCGGACGGACCCGTGCTCAGCCCTACAAAAATAGTCCTTTATGGTGTTTTTTTTTTTTTTGTCTCAAGACTAAATTTTCACTATCAAATTTAGTCTTGAGAAAAAAAAACAAAAAAACAAAAAATTAAAAAAAAGACCAAAAGCTCGTGTACATCTTTACACACGAAAATGCAAAAATTTAAAAAACTTGTAAATAATGGTAAAAAAAAATCCAAAGTCTCATAGTTTAAAATGTCTCATAAAGTCTTCATATTTTGAATATCGAGTGATTTATAGAGACTCTCAGTTTATACTCCACGAGTTTGTCGCCTGAGATCGGCGGGCGCTTTGCTTTTGATCATATATATTGTGTCCCTTGCCATGCAAACACAAAGCTATATGGTTCTTTTTTTTGGTTCTTTCTTTAATCTGGGGTTTTCTTGAGTGTTGTGGAATTAATCTCAACAATCAAATCGTGGATACCTTGGGTCCTGCACCGCGACCTCCGACCATCAGCTCCCGCACACAGAACGCCGCTAAGAACCCGCTTGGAGAGCCCTCTATTGCGCTGGATGATGTCTCTTCATGCCTTGATGAGTTCACTCTTTATCATTCCCTTTGTTTTACACTCTTCATAATGGCCTCTACATGCAACACATGTATCTCTAAAGGCAAAGATCACAAGCCATGATTAAACAATATCACAAATCAAGCCAAGCAATGAGCTAAGAAGAAAACTCCACAGATCTGAAACTGTTGTATTGCTTTCATAAACCCTAGAAATGACTATACAATGACTTTATATACATGAGCTGAAACTAATTAACACCCTAGGATCAATATCTAAGGCTGAGAAGAGAGATAGAAAACAGACAAAAGAAATGTGTAAAAATAGAGCCACATGGGCATGCATACGTCCAAAGTTGTAAAGAAGGGCAATTTAATGGTTTGACTAGTATTGACTTTTATATATGCTATTATGCCCCCTTCTATTCAAGCGAGGGTTTTAGCCGAACGGTGAGTTTGTCTCGAAGCCGAGCGAAGAATTGATCGGAAATAGGTTTGGTTAAGATATCGGCAATTTGGTCCAAGGCGGGGATATTGTGGACTGAAATGAGTTGATGATGAACTTGTTCTCTAATAAAGTGAAAATCAATGGTTGTATGTTTAGTTTTAGAATGATGCACAAGATTGGCAGAAAGTAGCACCGAGCCAAGATTATCTACCCAACAGTGGTAGGTTGATGTTGTGGGACGTTCAATTCAGATAAAAAGGATCGTAGCCACATAATGTCACATGTGGCTGCAGCCAAACATCTACATTTAGCTTCAGTGCTCGACCGGGCTATGGTCTTTTGTTTTTTTACTGCTCTATGTAATTAAATTATTTCCAAAAAAAATGCAGAAGCCAGAAGTGGATCTTCGGTCATAGATATCAGTGGCCCAATCAGAATCTGCAAAGGCCATGAGCTGCAGAGAAGGTGAATGTGTAATATGAATGCCATGATGAAGAGATCCACTCAGGTACCTAAGTAACCTTTTCAGTGCCTTCCAATGGGTATTAAGGGGATTTTGCATATATTGACTGCATTTGTTGACTGTGAAAGTGATCTCTGGCCGAGTAATTATGGCATACTGAAGGGCCCCAATGAGCTGCCTATACAAAGTTCCATTTTCAGTTGGTTGACCTTGATGCTTAGAGAGGCATGGTGAAGACACCATAGGTGTGCTTAGAGGTTTACAATTATGCATCTCAGCCCTTTTCAATATGTTGTTGATGTAAGAGGATTGAGTAAGAAACAGACCTTTGTCTGTGTGCTCAACTTCCAAGCCTAAGAAATAATTAAGTTGACCTAAGTCTTTAAGAGCAAAGGATTGCCTGAGAACTGAAATGGTGTGATCTATTTGAGAATTATCACTGCCAACAATGATCATGTCATCCACATATGCTAGAATGAAGATGTTGTAACCCCTTTCAATTTTGATGAACAAGGAGGTATCTGATTTTGAAGCTGTGAAACCAAGAGAAGAAAGTATGCTGCCAAGTTTAAGATACCATGATCTTGAAGTCTGCCTCAAACTATATAGGGACTTTTTAAGCGAACACGCAGAATGTTCATCTTGTTCATAGCCAGGAGGTTGCACCATGTAAATAGTTGTGTCTAAGTCATCATTCAAAAATGCATTGTCCACATCTATCTGTTTGGTGAACCAAGATTTTGAGATGGCTATAGATAAAACTGTTCTAATTGTAGTAGTCTTTACAGCAGGACTGAATGTTTCAGTAAAGTCCAAACCTGGAATTTGACTAAAGCCCTTGGCTACTAGCCTTGCTTTGTGTTTAGAAATGGTACCATATGCATGCTTTTTAAGCTTGAAGACCCATCTGCAACCTATGGCCTTCTTACCAGGAGAAAGTGTAGTCAGGATCCATGTTTTGTTGTTAAACAAAGCTTGGTATTCATTTTCCATGGCATGTTTCCAAGCTGAACTGCTGAAAGCTTCTTCAAGATTGTATGGTTCACAGTGATCTTCATGAGTTGCAGGTGCCAGCACTTCCTCTGGTATTGATAGATAGACTTTCTTTTTGCAGATGTCAGCCCTTCCTCTGGTAATCATTGGATGAATATGATCTGCAGGTGCATTGTTAGTAGCATTTGTAGTGGAAACAGAAGTATGCCTATCATTATCAATTGGCAAATCA